AAAAGGCATGATTTTTTTAATCGGATTTAGAAAAATAAATAAACGTACCATCCCAAATAAAAATGTACCGGGTGGAATTTTTCTGTGGAAAAAATAAACGTACCGGTACGTTTATATTGGGACAATTAGCGTTGTGGGCCATCTCTCCTGAGTAGCGACATATTTTTAACTTCGCCTATTGCGTGAACAGTGGATTATGTAAATAAACCAACACTTTCAATGAGTACATGCCGACCCAACTAAACTTGTTTATGGCTGTTTATGAACAGAGAGGACGCATCTCATAGAACAATAGCAGTGGAAATCATAAACAAATGTAAATGTTGCGGAAATCAAGCATGGCGATAATGATTTTGAGCGAGGCAGAGTCTGGCAAGCGTCTCAGAGCAGCATTGCGCCGACACCACCACGACCACGACGTTTGAATCCCGGTGAGAGCACTGCAAACCTCTTAAATCACGAGGTGAACTTTCAATTTACACAATACATAATCAGTTCCTACAACCATAATAAAAAGGCAGTTTTTCTGGCGAAACTCTCGCCAGGTTAGCAATTGTTTCTCACGATCACCAAACCCGAGACACAAACGATAATACAAAGTGTATAAATACCATAACAAGCACAGTTTCTTACCTTTGAAATTGACGAGACACAATTTTGTCCATATAAGCGGGATACAATATCCTCACAAAAATGACTGATTTCCACCGAGACGAGAACTGCGTAAGCGTCATCAAAACTCGGATTAAACTCGGGTAATTTCGGGAAAAGTCGGATTTTGAAGGAAAAATGTTAAAAATCAAGGAAAAACACAGTGAAACTTTGAAGAATCGAAAAAATAACTTTATGTGCACAATAGCACGATCAATTTCTGTCTCTGTACCAACTCTGAACCGAATTGAATCACACATGTGTGAGAAAAAGCTGGTAACATAAAAATGTGCACACACATTTGCACAGACACGACCCAAATTAAACCCCCCGCCCGGATCGCAGATCCGGCGGGGGCTAATTAATAATTTCTAGTGAAAAGTTACATGACAATCTATAGATTTCATAAGTTATTGTAGATGCTCATCCACATGTGTGTTTCCTCATTCATTAATATTACTTGTTGTTTATTCAGTTTTATTTTTTCATATTCGTAATTTCGTGATATTATTAGACTATATTTTACTGTATGTTTTGGTCCTTATTTTATACAATTCCAAGTTATATTAGCTGAGATACAACAATTGAAAGTTGTTACATGCCTGAAATTTTACCATAATACATGTAAATCTATTGGAAAGAAACACAGATTCGAGTTACATAAGCCATTTTGTAATAACTACTATCAGCACTAATGCAATAGAAATCTGTTGCAAGGTCAATTTAAAGCTGATATATTAATATTACTATCTAATAAATGTGTTTCCTTTCGATCTTTAATCTAGAGGTGTGAATCCTACTCAACCCTATAAAAGGACATCTCATTGTATATTTCTTTAGTTGCATCCTTGTTACATTGTAGTTCCTTTGTTATACACTGTACGAATAAATAGTATATTGTTTGGATGTACTTTACGCTGTCTTTTTTATCTGAACCTGATCGAATGTGAGCGAATATCATCCACATAAGATTTAAAACATGTTTAAATACTTACATGCCATTTTAGCAAATTTGACCTAATTAGAAAAACATTCCTTTTTTTGTACTAATGTAAAACATTATATGCATGTGACATATCTGTACTTCTACTTACTTTTCGGCAGTTGCCAATAGTGAATTAAATTTCAATCATGCTACAATAAATTGTGCCACCATGATAGCTTATTATTACTACAGTATGAATGAAATTATTCTGTGAATATGGTCATTTACAAATATGTCATCATCCACAGAAATGTAAAATAAATTTCTGAATGACTATATTGTCAACCAATGTGTACAAAGCTTATCATTTTCCTTATACATGTATAGCAGTATAGATTAATTGTCATGTATTTTTTTTATTAGATAAATCAGGTCACAATATTTTCAGTCAGTGTTTTACTGAGTGGAGGAAGCATGTCACATTGAGTTGCATCATTCAAAAATGGTACCTCTGTGAAAGACTCCTGAAAAACATGCCATTTTTCTTTTTTAATATCAAATAGTAATTACAGATTGTTTAGTTTCAACTAATACAATGAATACAGTACATATATATTATGGTATGCGAGTTTCTTGGTTTTCTTGAACAAGATTGCTATCTTAACCAAGTGACCAATCAACACAAAGTGATCAAATTACTGACGCATATTCATAGATGATGAATATGTAATTTCATATCAATTAACAAGTGTGAAGACAGTGTTCCGTTTGATTAGTGTTCAATTCGCGTTTGATTTACGCTTGTTTCCTGTTCGATTGACGCATGTTTCGCGGTGAATTGACATACAAATTGCTATATCTATAATTTACACAAAAGTTTATACATGTATGGTAGCATATTTTGTGTAGGAAAAATGGGGATCAACCTATTTCTTTTGGAGAAAATCATGGTTATAAATAGTCCTCGTCTCGCTCACATCGGAAGTCACATGGGCTCAAACAAGTATAAAACAAGTATAAAATATTCTGTTTTTCCAGCGCTCAAAAATATTGTTAAATTAGCTGAAATTGCTATATATCAACATTCAGTGGGAGTCTGAATTGTACGTGAATCGGACGCGAATTGAACGCGAATCAAACCAAACGCTGTCTTCATACTCGTTATCAATCAAATGAGTGGCCATTATTTTGAAAATTAATAGCGCAAAAAGTTATGAGGGATCTCTTCCCGTGAAATGGCACTAAAGTTCCTTCGGACCCTCTTACCCAGAACTAGCCCTGCCCCTCCCTCATTTTAATTGTATATGCTCTGCTTGATCAGGACACATAGTTATCTGGAGTAGCAACAGAGGCACATTACTTGGGGTTTGCAACTACAGTGACATGATACCAAGATCCCGTTACAATCTCACTCTCACATAAGCGTTCCAACTCAGAAATATGCGAATGCACATGCCCGAGGTAACTAGGATACTGGGATGTCCAGGTGGATCAAAATAGCTCACGATATGACGGATTACGATAACTATATTTTCTGTACATTTTCGATGTATTACATTTTTTCACTATGAATGTGGTAATACATGTTTTATTGTTATATTACAAACAGTCTATGTCATGTCAGAAGAGAGTAGCATCAGTCTCGCTACCTACGACATGAGACTTGAATGGAATCTTGGCATTATGTCACCATACAGTACTACCGTATATACATATATGTACTATATTTGATACCATGATGAAACCAATACTTTTATACTGTGCAGAAATCTGGTCAGATAGTATAATTAAACACCAAAAGATGTATATGAATATCATGTCACCAATGGAACAATTGCACATGAAATACTGCAAATACCTCCTCAAAGTTAACAGCAAAGCGACCAATGTGGCATGTCTTTTAGAATTAGGAAGGTATCCATTAAATACAACAGGGATAAAACAGATGATCAAATACTGGTCTTGAATAAAAAATTGAGGATTAGTGCTCACAGACTACAAATAGAGACTGGGAGATATAACAACACAGATATATCTGAAAGAAAATGTCTATGTTGTGAAAATAACGCCATAGAGGACGAAGAACATTTTCTTTTAACATGTGATCTCTACGCGGGAGAAAGAAAAAACTTTATCAGCTGTTATCACCCCAACACTAATAATATAAATAGCAAAATACATAGAGAACTGTTTCAAAACAAGAGAGGAAAAGTTGAAAACATAGTCAGCTATCTCAAGATAAGGTCATGTACATGCAATAGTAATCTAAACATTCAACACAAATGTGGAAAACAACCCAATTTACTTTACCATTATTTTTTTTTCTACTTTTATTTGCTAGTTGTTTTTTTATTTATTTTCCTGTGTGTATTGTTATTCTCACTTTAATTGTTTGTTTGTCTTTATTCACATCTGTATTGCATTTTAGTCAAAATCCTAATAGGGATACGAACGCAATAAAGATAATTATTATTACGTTGCAAACCCCAAGTAATGTACCCTTGATAGCATATACAAATACAATAGTAGGGGCTGGGGTTTTATAGTTAGGTTTCACTCTAGGGGTGGGGCCTTAAGGCCCTTTTTCCTCGCACACACAGGGCCTGAAACGAGATTTCTGAGGTCACATGGGGTGTGGGGTTCAATAAACATCGACAATGACAATTCAGTTCGACTACTTTACCTGTGCGAATTTCAATGCTGGTGTTCGTATCAATGTTTAATTTTGATTTTCCTGGTATAGGAACCCGCAGTGGGATAATAGTTGGCACCGCTACTGATCCAGCCGTCATGTCGCACTAAATTGTCAAAAAAAAAAACCGCAGCATAGATACACAAACACGGGTTTCCAGGGTGTTTTGAATTTGGTTCGCCTGTTTGTTGCATCTTTGCTCACCGGGAGGCTTGGGAAATACCATTCCATTTTGGGGGCGAGGAGTTTTATATAATGAAATTGAGAACATTTCTAAAAGGTCTCTATGTTATATGGCAAATACTTTAAGGTTAAGTTGATAAATATCGATATATAAATATATATTTGCAATATCAAGCATTTTAAGGAAACAATACAATATTTTGACTGGAAAAATTATCTTGCCGTTAAACAGCCAATCAGAGACCTCATAACGTGGCGATCACCTGACCTGCGAGTCGGACATCTTGTCTGGCACTCCTCTTGTCATTGTGTTGTAAAGCGAAAGGAGGTAATTACCGTCTTCATTCGGCACATCGTCTATATCCCCAACTATGGCGGATAATAGCGATGCTGACACGAGCAGTAATACCAGTCAGACGGTGGCTGATGTTGCTAGTTTAGAAATATACGTTGCAAAGTTAATACCACTCCTTTTGGAAGATGGCGATGGGACATCCACAGTACTGAAAACTGCGCTCAGTGAACGAGGGCACCAAGAATGTATGAAAAAATTCCTTTCCGACCCACAAATTCAGACAATTTTGGTGGAACGAGCTGTTTCAAAGGGTAAGCGTGAAATGCAATCAATTATTTGCCCCTACTTAAAATAATAATGTGAAACGAATAATTTAAAATTAAACATGGCTGGCTGCAGACATGACAGAATCCCTGGTAACACATGCACGCAATTGGATCGGATCTGCATTCTAGACGATATTTATGCAAGCAGCTTAATTATTAATTAATTAATACCTAATTGCATATAAAGAATTATTTTCGAGGATATAATAATCCTGATTGAAAATTATATTGTTAAAACCTATTTATATTATATTAAATTATATTGTTAACAAACTAGTCACGTATTCTTTCGAGTTCTCTGATCAAAAATATTTGCTTTTCATATTTTAATACTAACTAGTTATTGAGAAAATATTGTTTTCTGCTGTAAAATTATATTTCTAAGGATGCAAAAAACTTGTTATTTTAAAAGATTGATATTGGCAAAGTTAATATGTTAACGAGTTTTAAATACAGGGGAGCTAGTGGGCCCTTTGGGAGGTTAGTGATTTAAAGGTCACATCTGCATATTTCAATTGTGACCAATTATATGGACTATGCTGCCCTATTAGCATAAATAAATAAACTATCCGTTTGCCGGCAATCTTTAATTTAGTACTCAGTTTGCATTGCCAAGCCAGCCACAGACGTAGTGTTTTTCTCTGCTTGCGTTTTTCTTCACCATCTGTACTAATTTTTATTGCTAAATGTCAACCAGCTACGTTGAAATCACAATCCGCAGTGTGTTCCCGATACCTATTACGTACCAGCTATCTAGAGACGAAATCCGTAGGTACGTTAACTACATTTTGTTTGAATCGGATCCACTACTTGCCAGAATACTAGACTGTAGCGTGCTTGCGGAGAAAGACGGTGTTATTTTTGTCAACACACTGAGCCACGACCAGAACACGAAAACGACATACTCGACCAGTTTTACTCATCTACTGAACAATTGATCAATATTACTAGCTATGGATAGCTTGACACAATCGGACATGTTCTCCAGCGACATAGACCTTACACCACCGAGAACAATGGAACCCGAAGGCAACTCTGACGTAACTCTCGAAGTACAGCAATGGGCAGTGAACAACGACATCACCTCCTTCACTCTTGCAAAACTAGCCACTGGTGGATTTATTAACATGAAATCTGTCAGGCTTATCGAGCTCGACGATATTGATGCGATGGGAATTGAA